CTTCTTTAAATGTCTGGTAGAATTCTGCTGTAAATCCATCTGGGCCTGGGCTTTTTTTAGTTGGGAGGCTTTGTATTACTGTTTCGATTGCCTTATATGTTATGGATCTGTTTCAACTGTTGATCTCGTCTTGGTTTAACTTGGTGGTTCCCATGATTTTTAGATATCCATCCATCTCTTTTACATTTTCAAATTTAATAACGTATAGGCTTTTAAAGTATTCTCTTACAATGTTCTGTATCTTTGGGGTGTCCATTGTGATGTTTCCCCTTTCCTCTCTAATTTTGTTGATTTGGATTTGCTCTTTCTTTCTTTTGGTTAACTGGGGTAAGGGTCTGTCTATCTTGTTTAGCTTTTCAAAGAACCAGCTCTTAGACTCATTGATTCTTTGTATTGTTTTATTTCTAGTTCATTAATTTCTGCTCTGATTTTTTTGTTATTTATTCTCATTTAGCTGAGTTTGGGTTTCATTTGTTCTTGTCTTTCCAGAGTCTTGAGTTACTACAATGTTAAGTCATTTATTTGTGGTCTTTCTGATTTTTTTCATGTAGGCACTTACAGCTATAAACTTCCCTCTTAGAACTGCTTTCAAAGTGGGCAGAGGTTTTGTTGTGCTGTATTGTCCTTTTTGTTTAATTCCAGGAATACTTTTATTTCTTTCTTAATTTCTTCTTTGACCCACTCATCTTTCAGGAGTGCATTGTTTAATCTCCATGAGTTTAATCCTCTTGGACTGTGGTCTGATAGAATGCATGGCATTGTTTCAATTTTTTATATTTGTTGAGGTTTGTTTTGTGCCCCAGTATGTGATCAATTTTTGAGAAAGTTCCATAGGGTGCTAAATAGAAAGTATATTCTTTGGTGCTTGGGTGGAATATTCAGAAGATGTCTGTTAGGTCCATTTGATCTATCGTATAACTTAATTCAGATGTCTCTCTGTTTATTCTTTGTCCAGTTGACCTGTCTAATGGAGACAGTGGGGTATTAAAGTCCCCTACTATTATTGAATTGGTGTTAATCTGTGTCTTAAAGTCCTGTAGTGTTTTTATGAAATTGGGTGCACCAGAGTTTGGTGCATATATGTTCATAATTGTAGTATCTTCTTGTTTAATTGTTCCTTTGATCAGAATGAATGACCCTCTTATCTCTTCTGATTAGTTTTAGTTTGAAGTCTGTTTTTTTTCAGATATTAGACTTGCAACCTCTGCTTGTTTCTTAGTGCCATTTGCTTGAAATATTCTTTTCCATCCTTCCACCTTAAGGTAGTGCCTGTTTTGAAGGTGAGATGTGTTTCTTGCAGACAACACAAAGATGGATTTTGCTTCTTAATCCATTCAACCTGTGTCTTTTGACTGGGGAGTCCAGTCCATTAATATCTAAAGTTATTGTTGAAAGATGTGATTGGTTACCATCATTTTGATTACTGTTCACATTCTTTGTCTAATTTTGTGTTTCCACAATTATATCTTCATTTAGTTTCTTTCTGTTGCCTCCAGGGTATAGTTGTTCCTTTCTCCATTCTTTGTATTGCTTCAAGTATTCTCTGAAGGGCTAGTTTTGTAGACATGTATTCTTTCAGCCTATTCAAGTTGTGGAAGATTTTTCTTTCCCTTTCAACTGTAATAGACATTTTTGCTGGGTAAAGTATTCTTGGTTGGCATCTATGGTCATTTAGAACTGGAAATACCTTGGTCCAGGCTCTTCTGCTTTCATAGTTTGCATTGATAAGTCAGCTGTAATTCTGATGAGTTTTCCTTTATATGTGAGTTGTGGGTTTTTTTTTCCTTTGGAAGCTTTCAATAGTCTCTTTGTTCTGTACATTTAGTGTTTTAATTATGATATGCTGTGGGGAGTTTCTTTTCTGGTCCTGACTATTTGGTGTTCTATGTGCTTCTTGTATTTATATAGGGATGTCTTTACTTAATTTTGGGAAATTTTCTTCTACAATCCTGTTTAACATCTGGTTAGTACTATTAACCTGAATTTCTTCTCCTGCCTATGCCTATGATATGTAGATTTGGTCTTTTCATGGTATCCCACATTTCCTGCATATTCCATTCCTGTGTTTTTAAAACTTTTTAATAATCGTTGCTTGAGTGGTCCAGTTTTTCAACTTTATCCTTCAGTGTTGATACTCTGTTTTCTATTTCATTCATTCTGTCAGTGAGACTTTCTCTTGTTTAAAATTGACTTATTGAGTTTTTCACTTCCTTCTTTATTTCAGCCTGTGTTTTCTTCAATGTTTCTATCTCTTTTGTGAATTCAGTGAGAAGTTTATCTCTATCTTCTTTTAGTTCTTTCATTTGTTCGTTTGTGTGTTCTTTTGGTCTTTTTGAGACAGGGTCTCCCTGTAGCCCCAGATGTCCTGGAACTCACTATGTAGACCAGGCTGGCCTTGAACTCACAGAGATCCACCTGCCTCTGCCCCCCAAGTGCTGGGACTAATGGTGTGCACCACCACACCCAGCTGTTTGTGTGTTCTTTAAATTTGTTGACTTCCTGAGATCATGTTTGTGATTGTTCTTTTAAATTCTGTGTCCTGGGCTATCTCTAGGCGATTCTCCTTGTAAAATTCTTCTACAGGACTGGTAGAATTTGGTGGGAACATGCTGTTTTGGTTTTCCATAGTATTATTTTCCCGTTGTAATTTTGGCATGTTGATTTCTGTTGTTAGTGATTCTGGTATGAAATGTAAGTCTTCCTTTGTTGAGTTGAAGACTGCTTCTGATTGTGTTATTGGTGTGCCTTGGTTGTTTTCTTATTTGGTATGTAAAGTTGGTTGATCTATAGTTCAGATTCTTTCAGATTTTATTTTGGAGGGAACTGATGGCTTCAGATCAGCTACTCAGGAGCTCCCCGCAGAGGCCCAAGTCAGGCTCCAGTCAGGAACACTCAGGCTTTCTTCTAACATTTGGATCCCTACTAGCAGGCACTCACAGCACAGTTTGGGAAGTTTCCTAAGGGTAGGCCTGATTTTGGTATTCTCAGGCAATCTGCTCAGCCCCTATGGTAGGGCAGAGAAGCCTAGCCCTGGCAAAGTGGCTCACCATTAGGGGATTAGGCAGGGCGTGATTTGGGGGAGTTCACCACTAGGTGGAGTCCAGATCCAGGCACTCTCAGACAGTCTGCTGAGGTATTAGCCCCTACTGTAGTGCAGAGAGGTCTAGCCCTGGTGAAGTGGGAGGGGCCTCACATGTTCCAGATTAGGGGTTGGGGCTAGTGTGATTTGGAGAAGCTCACCACCAGGCAGAGGCCAGATGCAGGCATTCTCAGACAGTCTCACAGAAGAATAATTCTTGATTCATTCTCTCTCTCTCTCTCTCTCTCTCTCTCTCTCTCTCTCTCTCTCTCTCTGCAGAGTTTCATGTATGGATTTTGCAATTTCCAATTAGGAATTCTCAGTGCATCATTTCTGTGCTTAAAGTTTCTCTTGGTTCTCTATTACCTATGAAGGATTCAAGAGACAAAACACATATTCATTGGATACTCTATATTATGCATTAGGCACATTTCATAAGACTAAATAGCCTTTCTTTAGAGATGAGGAAACTGAGGCTTCACGAGGTTAAATAAAATTAGGTATGGTGCATACCTGTAATTCCAGCACTCTGGAGGCTAAGACTACTCATACATTTAAACATGAAAATGCTGATTAAAAAAAAAAAAGAAGAAGAAGGGGCTGGAGAGATGGCTCAGCGGTTAAGAGCACTGACTGCTCTTGCAGAGAACCCAGGCTCGATTCCTAGCACCCACATGGCAGCTACGAACCATCCTTAACTCCAGTTCCAGGGGAATCCGAAGACCTCTTCTGACCTCCGCAGCATTGCACGACACGGGTGCACTCTCATACATGCAAGCAATACACTCATACACATAAAGTAAAAATAATAAATAAAAATTTTTTAAAAACAGTCCTGTGCAGCTCCAAGATGTAGTGTCATTGCTTTAAATTGATTGTTCTTTTAAGATGGAGGTACATATTTCAACTGATTGAATAACTTTTCAAAAAATATACACATACAGGGCTGGAGACATGAATCAGCAGTTAAGAGCACTGTTTGCTCTTGCAGAGGACCTGGGTTTGATTCCCAGCACCCACACGGCAGCTAACAACCATCTGTAACTCCAGTTCTAGGGAATCCAACACCCTCTTCTGACCTCCATGGACATTGCATGGCACGGATGCACTTACATACTTGCAGGCAACACATTCACACACATAAAATAATAGATAAAAAGTATACATAATACTATCTCCAATACACAACTCTCACCTCAAAGAATATATGAAATAGTTTATTCTGAAACTAAATACAAGTGACCTTGGCCCAGGTACACAGATTCAAGTTACCCCAAATTCCATGTTCCAGCATGGTTTAACAATTTCATGGGTTTTTTTTTTTCATAGTCACAGAACAAAGAAACACATGAATCAAGGCACTTTTCAAATACATTGGTAGAAACATAAGGTAAGCAGGTTATTGCAAAGCAGCGGAATCTTTGCTATAGGCCTCAGATGCTATGTGACCACATTCTTAGCCTTGTAATTGGTGGAAGTTAATGGTTTGTTAATACATTCCAAAAGGTTTCACTGCTAGTCTCAAGGATTTTAGAACAGATACAGAAATGGGTGGGCAGGGGATGGCTATTGAGGGAGCTAAGTAAAGATAGCCCAAGATAAATTGTAATTAAGTTGTAGATCTACAATATTCCAACCTCTTCACAGTCATGGAAGTTCTAATCAGCTGATCAGCTTGCAGAAAAGTTCAGTGTAAGGTGTGGTTCTTTCCAGTAACTTTCCTTCACAATAAGTATGATGTTAGTACAAAAATCTGAACCATTATCAGAAAACAACTAAATTGATAGAAAGGAGTAGAAAGTTCAGATACAAATATTTGAATACAAAGAAGTCAGCAAATAGTGGAATATGTGACAAGGGGTAACTGCTTGTCTTATGGTTAGGAACAAAGTCAAAATGTCCTATTTTACTCTTTATCCAGGAGAACACTGGTGTGATTGTTGTGAAGACCCATCTGTATCTTCTGGTGACCACTTACACTGCAGGCATGTATCCTAGTGTCTGTGTGGAAGCCACAGAGAAGCTGGGTAAGTTTGCCTCCAATTGAGATCAGAGCAGCTAGGAAAGAAATGAAGAATTTATGGAGCATCCTGAGGTTGCTCATATAATCACAGGAAATATTGAGTACAGGCCAACACAAAAAATGCAGATGCAGTGATTAGGAGCTGCTGGGACTGTCTTGTCCCCGCTTGTGAGTCAGCTTTGTTCTGTACTATTGCAAACTACTTCCTTCCTTGGCTTGGTATCATGGCCAAGCCTCTCATTCTACCCGTTAATTTCTTTTAGGATCCTGACTTGTATCATATAGTTTACCGCCCCCACCTCCAAATCAATTAGCTATGTAGGAGCGGTGGGCAGGGGACTAGAGAGAAAACAGGTTACAAAGCAGATATATAACTGGCGGTGACCCATACTGTTGGAAGGAACCTTTAACTGAAAGATATTGCTAAGGGAGAAGCAGCTGCCTTGTTGGTATACTGCATTCCCCTTCCCTGGTTGTATTTTTTTGGGAGAAAAAAGATCTAATGGAGAACTAAGGTGAGAGTTGAGCACAGTAAATGGCAAATTGTTTGCCAATTTTATGTTTTGTATTCTTTCATCTAGATATGAATTTTTATAAATAAATTCTTGAGTGCTTAAACACTCCTTTGAAATAATAGGTGCCCCTAGCCAGGAGAACAGCCATTCATTTACTCATTCTTGCAGTGAAAAACTATAGCACTCTGCCATGTTCCCTGTGCTATCCCAAATTATAAAATCAAAGCTAGATAAGATACACTGCCTTCAGTGCCTCTACAGACGACTTCCTACCTGCCAGAAATATATTCCTGTTCTGTCCCTGCCTCCTCACATCTGGTTGGTGAATTCCCAAACATCATTAATGGTCCAAGTCAGGTCTTAGGCTTCCCTCTACTGTACTGTACATTTTTTCATACTGTCACTCTTGTTCTCATTAGAGCTCTTGGGTTATCTGGATTATGAAGCCTTAGGAGGAAAACACTTCATCTTAATCATTTTCCTATCTCTAATATCTAACCCAGTACCTGATTTTGAGTAGGAAATGAATATATGTCTGATAAACAGTTAAGTGAACAACTTCTACCTCAGTGAGGGAGGGCTCCAGAGAGATGGATCATAAATGAATAAATAAGAAATTAAGCACCATCCCAGAAAAGGAGGTTCAGTTTCAGCAGAGTAGGAGTAGAAACCAGAATGGAGACCTATAGATCTGAGCTAATATCTCACTAATGTAGCCATAAAATAAGGCTAAGAAGATGGGCCATTAGGCTTTCAAGAAGCCAGTCTCCTACCTGCTCAGACTCAGGGCTAATTCCTTAGAGAAGACCAGACAAGTTCCCTGACTTCAGTGCAATAAAAGATTCTGTGGCTAATGTTTTTGCTCAAGACCACAAAAGACTCCCAAGAATAACACAGCTGCTATCATGCCAGTAAGATCGCACTGCTCTGGGAAAGGACAAGTTATCTTGGAGTGGTTGGATGCTCTTAAGGGATAGACCAAGTTACTACCTGTCAGCTGCCAGTTACCATTCTGTTTAAGTGTGTTTCCTTTATTGCTCTCCATCTTGCTTTCTGAGTCAAGGTTTCACTCTGTAACCCAGATTAGGCTCCAACTTGCAGTTTTCCTGCCTTATCCTACTAAGTGCTAGGTAAATCAAGTCAAATCAGGAGAAAGCACCAGGACACAGACAAGAATTCAGGTGGGTTAGAGTTTGTTGGCAGGGAAAACGCACAGAACAATCCTCATTTCAGGATAGAGGAGCTGACAGTTTACAGGCTGTTGGCTAGGGGCTTTGATAGGGGGTTGGGGAGATGTGGAAGGCAGGAAGATATTTTAAAACAAGTTAGGTGGGAGAGAGAGAGAGCCCAGGGCTTATCAGGAGAGAACAGCCTCTGTCAAACCACCCCCTTCCATCCCTTTCTGTCACCCAGGTTCTGGGTCATGGGATAAGGGGTCCATACATTTTGAAACTTATCAGGGGGATGTGGCTTGTACTGAAACAGTTCCTACATCAGTGGGTCTGGGGTGTAAGGGCCTATTTATCTTCTAAGATTATCAAAGGGGAAGCAGGCTGTGCTGAAACAGCTCTTGCAGCGATTGGGTCTCAGGTCATAGGTATAGTCTGTTTATCTTGTCTACAGACAGTCAGGGTGCTCATTAACTCAGTCCCTGTAATTCCAGAGGGCTTGCAAAACCTTGAGGCCCTGTTGCATTGGGGAGGGGGTTGCTGTAGATCCAAACCTAACACTAAGTCCTAGGACTCAGGCATGTGCGATTATGCCCAACAATTGTGTTTTTCTCTGTTAGAAAATTGTACACAATTATTGTAGAAAATTTGAGAAGAATCAAGATTCAAACTTCTTTATTTACCAGGTGTAGTGGTGCACACCTGTAATCCCAGCACTCAGGAGGCAGAGACAAGCAGATTTCTGTGAGTTCAAAACCAGCCTAATCTACACAGCAAGTTCTTTTTTTTGTTGTTATTTTGTTTTGTTTGTTTGTTTCTTTGTTTTTGAGACAAGTTTTCCCTGTAGCCCCAGCTGGTCTGGAACTCACTATGTAGACCAGGCTGGCCTGGAACTCACAGATATCCCTCTGCCTCTGCCTTCCAAGTGATGGGACTAAAGGTGTGGGTTACCATGCCTGGCTTTAGTAAAATCCTGTCTTAAAAAATATTTTTTTTATTATGAAAGAGTCTAACAGTCTAACTATTCACCTTCACAGAGTAGGTAAATGATGCTATACTATTTCACACAAACTGGGTTTGTTTTTAAAATACATATAGGGATGGGTCATATACATTTGTAAAATGTTTACATCTTTAATTCTGGGTCCTCAGTTTTTTAAAAAAAGACAGAAATTTAGGAACCTTTTATGCCTTATTTCTAGAATTATTATGGAATTATCAAATAACTACAATTGTCCCTTAAAATATTCTGTGTCCGCTCTATAAATTAGAGGAATACATTTAACTTCCATATAGTCAACCTAGTGTCCTAGTTTCTTCACATAACAGTTGCTTCACTCTTTTTTTTTTTTTTTTTTTTTGGTCTTTTTGAGACAGGGTCTCCCTGAGGCCCCAGCTGTCCTAGAACTCACTATGTAGACCAGGCTGACCTTGAACTCACAGAGATCCACCTGCCTCTGCCTCCTGAATGCTGGGATTAAAGGCATGTGCCACCACGCCTGGCCAACAGTTGCTTCACTCTTATAACTGAATCGACAGGCTAAAGAACCAGGCTCTATGTTTTGATAATCGCATAGAAAGGAACAGATGTTTCATGGTTTTAATATTTTATTTTGTGAAAATTTCATCCAAGATATTATTGTTAAATCTGTAACATAGATTAATAGAAAAAATATGCTGAATTTGCCATGTAGTTATCTCTTATAATTAAGTTAATTTTTTAGAGGCCTTTCCTATTTGTTTTTGTTTTTTGAGACAGAATCTTTCTGTATAGCTCTGACTGACCTTGAACTCATTGTGCAAATTAGTCTGGCCTTGAATTTGCAGCTATACTTATGTTTTTGTCTCCCAAGTACTGGGATTACAGAGTGTGCCACCATACGTGGCTAGAGATCTATTTGTTTTGGCACTTCACCATTTCCATCTATCATGATTGCATTAGAGGAGAGAAAGTCAAGCAATATCCTCTGGTCAATTTAAGAAAAAGAATATAAAGGAGACCCTGCCTCAAAAAAAAAAAAATGCTGTCATGGTAGTACACACCTTTAGTCCTAGTACTCAAGATGCAGAGGCAGGCGGATCTCTGTGAGTTCAAGTCCAGCCTGGGTTACATAGCAAGTTCCAGGACAGTTAGGACTGCAAGGAGACCCTATGTCAAAAAGAAGAAGAAAAAGAATGCAGGGAATATAGCATAGCTCTGTAGTAGAGCAAGTGTAAGGCCCTGAGTTCAGTCCTCGGCTCTGGGGAAAAATGAAAAAGAACAAGTATAATTTTTGATGAGTAAAGCACTGGCTTTCAAAACTTTCTGATTAATAGTTTGTTTTTAAAAAATGAAGTATTCCACATGGCAGCTCACAACCATCTGTAACTCCAGTTCCAGGAAACTTGACTCCCTCTTCTGGCCTCTTCAGGCACTCCGTACAAGTGGTGCACTTACAAACATGCAGGTAAAACAGCCATACACATAAAAATAAATCTTTCCCCCAAAATGAAGTGCTATGATCAGTTTTAAATCTAGGTGTGACCTAAATAGGTAGTTATAAGGAGAGGGGGACAGCAGGTTCTATTGTTCACTGAGTGGTCTCCCACCTTAGTTCCTTTGCCAGTTATATGCACCTTCACTCTCTCTGCATGGAGAGCCAATTTATCCTCTAAAGCTGCTCAAATACCCTATCACTATGAAATATAATTGAGGTTTATATACATCTATCTCGCCTACTAGACATAGAACTCCATGAAGGGAAGGCTTCTGTTTTAACCGTCTCATCATCCTTGTAACTTCACTACAAAAGATGGTGCCCAGCGCGTGGTAGTTACCAAGCACCGTACACAGAAAAATTAATGAGCTGCATCATAGTGACAGTTTACTATTCATAAATTTAAAACTTGTGTTTTCTTTCAGGAGACTATCTAAGAAAAAAAGGAAATTAAGTTATCAGACAACTAGTGACAGCAACTTTATTGAAGAAAACTTGAGATCCTTAGGAAAAGTAATATCTTGTTTTGTGGCCAAAAATACTAGGCAGAAGATTAAAGAAAGACTGAGCTAAGGGAGCAGTTTTTATTTCAAGAGGTCATCTTCTCTTAATTGGAATTACCTAATCAGCCTGTTCTTGTTTTCAAGTGTTGGCTATTGACATTAAATGTGAGAGCACTAATAGTTTTCATAGTCTGTTGTGAGTCGCACCTCCTTGTCGCTCTTGTATTTGTACATATCTTGCCATAGATGCCAAGAATGTAAGCCCTACCCACACTCTCTTGTGTGGTATGTGTGTGCCATGGTGCACGTGGAGGTCAGAGGACAACTTGTGAGAGTTGGT